CCCCCCCCCCCCCCATAATCTCTCTCCCTCTTTCTGTCTCTGTCTCTGTCTCTGTCTCTGTCTCTGTGTCTCTCTGCATCTGCCTCTTTCCTTCTCGCTTGCTAAAAACAGGGGAGCCGATTGACGTTGGTTTATCAGTCGCGAACCTCTTTTCCCGCTTTCACAAAACCGGTTCGTTCGCGCTGTACTGTAGCTTGGGTTTGCAGATGTCCACGATCACCAACCTCTAGCGAATCCGCATGTACCTGTTGCTGCTGTGTATGTGCCAGGCATCGGGAAGGAATGCTGTCGGCATCTCGCGGCGCTCGGAGGTTACAGGGTCATGATGGCCTGCCGGTGAGTGAAGAGTGAAGGGCACGACGACACACACCAAAATCGCCATTCCATTCTCAGCAGCGACCCTTAAACAGGCCCACACACCACACAGAGACATGCTTGCGGTACTGTTCTCTGGCACCGTGGACGTGTGACTTGTCCGCCAAACTCGTCACGTGGACGGATCAAACAGCCCCCCAGCTTTCCCTCGAGTGCACCCTCATACATATTGTACTTTTCGAGCATTTGGTGGTGTAGCGCATGACTGATAACAGCTGGATTGGATAGTAACGGCCGATTGACGACATCGGTTGCAAGCCCGCGAAGTGTCACGTTTTGCGTCGAACGCCGTTGATTTGCCTTTTCACTCCCCCTTTCGTGGGTCAAAGTTCTGTTGGACCGGAAGACATAAGAGTACGCCCCGCCCCCGCCCCCCCCCTTGTTTTCGAACTACGGCACTGCACACCCGCACACAGGAACGTGACCGCGGGCCACGAAGCCGCCAACGACATCCTCCGGCAGCACCCGGACGCCTGCGTGGAGTGTCACCCTCTGGACCTGGCCTCCTTCGCCTCCGTGCGGTCCTTCGCCAAGAGTGCCGTCGGGGGGCGGGCCGTGTCGGCGGTGATCCACAACGCGGGCGTGATGGCCGTGCCCTACCAGACCACCGTCGACGGACACGAGCTCACTTTTCAGGTGTGAAAAACGTCGTCAGTTTCATGTTTGTTAGACCACGTTTACATTTGGACGGATTGTTTCTCGTGCTTTTTGTTTTTGCCAAGTACGCGAAGTTGACCAATTTTCTTTCAATGAACAACAGCCCTTCACATAAACACACACACCCCTCCCTCCCCCCCCGACGTCCCTCGTCCAAATGTAGACCGTACTACGTGGCTTGGTTGGTGAAGAACAAGGGCAGTGTCTTCTTGGGATTACTCTCTCGCTCTTACTACCGGCACGCGTACGAGTACACCTATGCATCCATCTGTCCCGCGTATCCGGCTGCTTGCTCTTCATGTATTGTATTGCTACTCTTCCCCCCCCCCCCCCCCCCCC